CTATCACTCATCCAGGGTCTCTGCCTCTTCTATGTTTTTCTTTTCATAATTAAAAAAATAATCTTTCTTAATATTCCTTCCCTTGCATTCCTCTTGGCAATAGCTCCAACATGTTTTAGGTATCTTGGCAGAAGACCAGGCTATGTTAGATAAGCCAGGGAAGGCAGTATTTAACTTACATTTTGGGAATATTGCTGATAAGTTCTGAAAGAATGATACAAAGTGCTGCATGTTGTGGAATCTTTACTTTGAACTGCAGAGAACAGAAATTCAATCGAAAGAGTAACACTGTGGATATAAATCACATTTGGAACATCCCTCAGTGTTTAATTAGAGATGTGTGTGGGAGTCTGGGGGTGGAGGCTGGGGGTGGAGGCTGGGGGTGGCTGGAGGTGGGGAAAGGAAGATTTGGGGGCAAAGATTTTACCTGTCTTTCAGTGATCCTTTTGGTACTGACATCTCAGGTTGAAAAAATATTTATGTACTGCCTGATACCAAAAAGGTTTAGGGTAAAGGGGTAATAACAGTTCAAAAATTAAAGAGTGAAGTTAGTGTATAAAATGCTTGTCATGAAACTGCATACTCACTACAGATTGGCCCCAAATTTGTCTCTTCTCTTTCTAGCAGTCAACACGAGGAAGGAAACATAATCAGTTATACAATTTATAGTATAAATATAGTATGTATTACAAAAAAACACTGTCAAAGTGGTGATGAGGCACTCAGCTATTCTACATAGTGAGAACAGAGATATTTCTTCTGTGGAATTCTATGAAGAGAACACTGACTTAGCTGGGAACAACATCCTTGACTTTTGCACCTGTACAGTGGGGAGAGTGGCAGGAATGCACGAGATGATGGATATAAAACACCTTGCAGTGCCTGGCATGCTTGTAAGCATTTGCTGGGTGGTTGCTCTCATCCGTATGTAGACTAAACACGGCAACATGCTTTGTAGGAAAGAGCTACTAGATCTGTCTTGCATACAGAGACATATGTTGTTAACCATCCACTCATCTACAGAATTTTTAGTTTGGCTGATCTAAAACCATTTTCAGGCTTGAGGGCTTCAATTTTTCAAAGTGCCACGTCATCCTTGGTGGCAAAGCGTGCATCTGTGACAGCTACTTTAACTTGAATGGCTACAGAGTTGCTAAGTCCAAGAGTTCTCTGTTTGCCAGGAAACATTATGGCAACTATCGGAAGTATGAAATTAGGTTCGAAGTAGCTCGGGAATTGAGAGAATTGGATGAGATATAATAGCTTCACAGTCCTTCCTGCTTGCACCTGGGGCGGAGCAGGTGAGGATGAGAAGAAACAAGAATCATGTAGTGATTATTTCTGACATGCAGAGGTACCCAGGGAAGCCATGTTTTCTTCCCAGTAGTCCTGGCTCTGGTGTAGATTGTAAAATATTCCCAAGGTATTTAGAGTTTGTTGGGAACTCGCACCATCTGCCAGAGAAAGGCATGCAGGGTATTTATTTGAACACATGCTACTGAAGCCACTGCCAAATCAAGGACTGTATGCTCTCTGCACACCTAAATGAACACTGCCAAATGCAGAGTTCAGTAGTTTCACTTTATGGAGTTTTCAGTAGCAAGAGTGTAACCTTTATTTTAATAACATTTAAGATGATACCTCTTCTTTATGAATGATAGCTATTTAAAAACATTCTTTTGCTCTTTCTACATTATCTTTGGAAGCAGTTTTTCCCAAATTTCTAGCAGACAACTTTTTTTTTTTTTAACTGAAAAATTCCCTCCTAAGAAGCAGGTAACTGTCCCTGATTCTTTGATAGCCTTTCTGTGTTGCAGACCTGGGCTGGCTTGGAAAGCTTGTCTGTTAAATTTCTCCTTTTCATGTTACACGTAAAACGATCCTACATCCTCAACCTTGGTGGCTTCCCTAAGAGCTTACAGTCACTTATTTTTAAAATAGCCATCCATCTTCATGACTTATCTCTGAGACAGGTGAAGATATTTAAATGAAAATAAATACTGACATCCAACTATGATATTTGCATCAACAATAGCATATTTTCAGCAGTAATGATCCTTCTATTGATCATGAAGACAGGTTTTCTGTGTTTTGGTTACTTGGTACATACAACTTAATATTTGGTAATCATGTTAAAAAAGCATCCCGCCTTACCTCCACCCACCAAAGCGAGACTGCCTTGCTCTCCTCTCACGGGTAAGGACACTGAACTGGAGAGGCTGAGGAGCAATTGAAGCCGCAAGCATTGTCCCTGGACTCCCAAAGGTTTGCTTCACCCCAGAGCCATGTTCCTTCTTCTCTGTCTGAACACAAGAGAGAAAAGAGCAATGTGGTTCCCAGTAATGTTTGAGAGGAGAAGGGGAATGCTTTGAGTTTTGAATTGTTCAGCTCAGTGCCATGATTTTCTCTGGCAGTTCTTGGAAGGCAGTATCTTCCTCACTCAGGGAATATTCTGTTGTATTGTGCTTTAAAGAGTGCCACAGAAGCTCACAGCTATGTGAGTACCAGAGACTGGTGGCTTCCCAGAGGCCATTGCTGATAGTATAAGAGAGGTTGCATGAGACAGGAGTGGGAACAGAGAGCGACTGACTGCACGTGGGCATGAGAGATCTTTTTGGATTGGTGGAGATGTTCTAAAACTGGATCATGGTAATGGCTGCACGACTCTGTGAATACACTAAAATCGTTGAATTGTATCCTTAAAGTGAGTGAATTTTATGGTTTGTAAATGATACCTCAATAAAGCTGCTTTAAAAAAAATGACTGCAATTTGGAATATCTTAAAAGGAACCATGTTTGTACTTGGTGTCTGTGCGCCATGGCACTCACTCCATGGGGCAGTGTTATCTGGAAGCTTTCCTGCCTGTGTGGAAATGGGCAGGGAAGGTGTGGGGGGAGGATTGGGAGGAGATGGCGATGAACTGAATCTGCCACAGGGAGAGCGCCTGTGGCCACACCTTTGTGATGATGACCACTCAGACTAGGTTCCAAAACTTAAACTGCATTCCTCTTCAGGGTTGGAAGGCTCACTCTCTGAATTGCCCTAATTCTTTCATTAGGTTGACAACAACAACACTTCATAGCCAGAAATCTTACCATAACATCCTAATCCACCTGTGTAGACTGTCGTTGAAATGATTTGATCAGATGTACTATGCAGATTTGGGTAAATATATTTAAAAATCTTTCTGTGTAACATCAATATGACTCATGCAGTTTAATTACCATTTTTTTTTTTTTGCTTAGTTGCCATTATTTAATAAGATGTAGAAAATATTTGATGTGACAGGTTTTTAAAAAATTTTCCAACCTCTTGATTTTGTGTGTGTGTTTTCCGGAACAAAGGCAACCGAGATTTCAGCATCTGATTTACTGAAGAAATGGGCTGGGTTTGCCACTTACATTGTTGAGACTTGAGATAAAGCTGCAGGACTACCTCAGTCGCTGGGGCCACAGGAAGCAATTGACACTGTTTCTTAATTCACATTGTTTCTGAGACATTTCCTACTTCCTGGTATAATATAGCTTTCCCATGAGAACAATTTGCTTGCAAATGGTTAGACATGATGAATTTCTCATTGGTGCACATTGTGTGGGGAATATTTCATTGTGCTTTGTAGTAGCTGTGTGTGTCTGGATGTGTGTGTTGGGAAAGGGGTCCACTTCCCACCAAGCATCAGGTATTTTCTTTTGAATGCTAACCCATTCACTTAGGTTTTGCATTCTTCAGTTGGAATCTCTTCTTTGAAGGGAATTCTTTTAAGCTTGCCAGTTTAAGGGAACAGTCCTGTGAACTATGGTGCTTTTAGAGATGTCTGATGAGTTACTGTGGAAAGAAGTTCGCAGAAGTTTCTATCAGACATACTGTGTGCATGTGTATTTGCATGTAGGTATGTGATATTGTCCATGGCATTGTGAAGTTGTCGTCAAGGAATAATAATTCGAGAAATGAGAGGGAAAAAAAAACCCTTGGTTGGGTTATTTTATTTTATTTGGCGTTTCAAAAAAAAGTTCACATTATTTCTGAAATAGTAGGTCCTACATTCAGAAGTTATACTGTATATAAATTGAAAGTAAAAGTTTCCCGATTAAAAATAAAGATGTGGAACTTTGAGTTCCTTTTTTTTTTTTTTGTCTTATCAGATTTTGTAAAAATAATACCACTTGTCAGCTTTGCAGCTCCTTCCATCTAGAGAACTGAAAGCATTTCACAATCTTTATTCCTCATGCCCTTCTCTTCAAGGCAATTTTTGCTGGGCTGGGTTTATTTTTATCATTGCAACAACCAGTTTTTAGAAACTTTTGGAAACCAAAAAAGAAAAAATGAGAATGGCACTGTAGCTGACATTCATTTTAGCTGTTTCCTAGTGTGAACATTTGAGTATTTCTAAAATCTTCTCTCCAAGTATGTCTTATTTTTCTCCGTTTGTCCCAGTTCTAAGTCTCTATTCTGCTGATTAGGTTAAAAAAGTTTTAGTGTAAAGCCTTATCCTTAGCAAAATGACTTTTTGAACTTTGAGTGAAATCTTTATTTTTGTAGCTCTAACAGCTCCTTTTCCAGAAAGCGCCTTATTCAGTATAATCACAGACTTATGGAAGGTTAGAACTGGAAGGGCCACTAAAGATTACCCAACGTGAGCCTCCCATACAAATGATGAAGTTGAGGCCCGGGCGGGTTAAGGGACATGCTGGAGGTCATATAGCTAATTGATGGCAGAAGTGTGACCAGAATCAAAGATTCCTGATTTCCTGTTTGATATTCTTTGGTTGTCCTAAGAAGAAAAATGTCTGGACAGAACTAGAGCACCCCTGCCCGGAACCCTAGGGCCGGAACAACAGGTTGGATTATACTGTGGCTAACTGGAAATCCGGAGGAAATTTTATTTTTCCTGTTTGAGTTTGTCAAATATAGACCGGTGCTGTTGAGTCGCACCTTGTGCGATTTTTGCACAGCAGAGAATGTGACTTGAACTGACCAGCGGTTTGTGTTTCTTGCCTAGGCCACCACACCATCTACATCGGGGTTCACGTGCCGAAGAGTTATAGGAGGAGGAGACGTCACAAGAGAAAGACAGGGCACAAAGAAAAGAAGGAAAAGGAGAGAATCTCTGAGAACTACTCTGACAAATCGGACGTTGAAAACGCTGATGAATCCGGCAGCAGCATCCTAAAGCCTCTGAGTGAGTACTCTCTGGGTGCTGGTGGCTCTCTCTGCGTCACGCCCACATCTCTGGAAGGGACAATTTTTAGAATCTTGTGGCTCAGGGGGAGGGCTGCAATGGTATGGGATGGTCTGCTCTCGAGGAGAACATCTATGGGAAGGCTTCGCTTGTACTGGCAGGGTAATTGATCTAGGAGATCATCTGGGAAGATTTCGAGTTGATCAGAAAAGATCTGACAAAGTCCAGGCATAGTTGTCTGCTCTGCATTTTGATGAGTGAAGGAGGGTGGCGTGTTACAGGTGGTCTTTAACTGTAGAAATCAGCAGTAACTGGAAGACAAAGAGTTTTTTGGATTGTTTCTGCTTAGAAATAGGTTCCATTGAGACAGTAGGTCAAGATGAGAGCATATGCATCTATATTTATATGTCTTTCCAAATGTCAGAGTTGTAGGTGACATTTTACCAGGTTGTGGGCCAGGTCGATGATTCAAAAAGGAATTTGTGGAACAGCATCCTGTAAGACAGAGACTATAGAGCAGGCGTCCTCAAACTACCACCTGCGGGCCACATGCAGCCTGCCGAGGACATTTATCCGGCCTGCTGGGTGTTTTTGCCACCGCTGCCTGTCCTGCTTAGCAGCCGACTGGTTCCGGGCCCACAGTGTGCATGTGTGGAATGTGTGCCGCACTCTCCAACGGCCCTCCAACGGCCTGAGAGACAGTGACCTGGCCCCCTGTTTACAAAGTTTGAGGACCCCTGCTATAGAGTGACACAGTTCTTAAAATGTTGAACATGTGAGATCTCATCGTTGGATAAAAAAGTGGTATGAAGAACAGAACAGCAGGAGGTCAAGGAACACGTTGGGTCAACTGTGGGTTTAGGCATATGTTTATGTTGCTTTTTGTTTCCTTTAATGTGGAGAGTATTTGGCTACAGGGGTAGCCTTGTGGCTGAAGTGAGAATGAATCTGTGTAGTAGAAACACATGCCAATTTTGGGAGATTCCCCAACAGGAGTTACAGTGACAGCTTTTCCTGTTGGCAGAGCTCTGTGCATTCTTTCTGCCTTTGCTACAGTTGCAGAAATACAGACCCTGCAATAAAATGCATTATGGGTGGCACAGATAAATATCAAGTTCAGTCATGGCAGGTGATGACAGGCCAAATTAGAATGAACAGCTCAGGGGTGTTGAAAAGTGAATTTGCAGAGTTAAATTAAAGAGGGTGTGAGGCATAGTGATGTGAATCTGTGACAGTCTCACCGTTGGAACTGAACAGGTGGCTTAGGAAGCTAGGGAGGCTCTGTGCTGAGAGGAGCAGTATGGATGATAAAAGCTTGGAGGAGAGTTTGAGATGGACCACGCAATTAAAATTAAACAACGTTAGAATAAATGTAAGACTTGGAAGGAACAGAGGACAGGAGACTAAAGTTACAGACTTTTCACTGAAATTTTGGGGGAAAGGCTTTCTGAAAGGGATTCTATGTATATTGACTAAAGGAAAGGAGTCTGTTTTGAGCAAAGTCTTCGAAATGCCTGTAAAAGAGGTCATAGTTAATATTCCGGAGGAACAAAAGATAACACTCCTTTCCAAATACTTTACTGTTGTTATCTCAATTTACTGTTTGTGTTGGCAAGGTCTAGCTGCTATCAGAGGTGCTCTCCCCCTGTGCATGTTGTCTCTCTTTCTCTGTCTCTTTTATAACTCATCTTGCATTCTGCGATTGAAGAACAAGAGTGCATCATCACTGTAAATATGAAAAAGTAAAGAGGTGTTCACCTAGACAAATGGGCCCAGGGAATCCGAGGGGACAGCTATGCACCAGCTCTCGAGGACGGGCAATGCCAATGTCAGTAACACTCAGGTGCTAAGGAATGAGCAGATCAGGAAGCTGCGGAGATGGCATGCGTGTCAGCCACAGAACACCGTTGCCCCTGTGGCATTTGGGGACCAGTGTGAGTACAGCGTGTAAGATAGACAAGGCCATCCATTCCCTTTACCCTCAGAAGTTTCTTCCCAGGGGATATTACATTATGTTGTTTACTGAGTTTCTGAAGTGAGACAGTTGTTATGGAGAGACAGGTGTTAAGGATGAAATTGTCCAATGATCATAAGGAAATTATTTATAAACTTGCATGTTTTAGTTAGCTTTTTTCTGCTTATGCATTAATATGCCTTTTGACATATTTGCTGTTAATCATCCGACTTGACATGAAGATCCTCTTAGAAATTACCGTATTTTCTCTGCTGCTTATGGTGGATTAGTAGTTGATCATCTGGTATGGTTTTATTTAAAAATCAGTTGTACCCAGATATAGAAAGACATTTAACCCTATGATTTTGAGGAAGCCACAGGGCTCTTGCACCAACATGACAATAAAATTCGTACGGGAAAACTTACTTAATGAAATACCTGCCTAGTATACCATTATTGTGTCTCAAGAACAGCCACATAGAGTTTCTGCTATTCTTTGATGTGGGGTGTTTGAGTTATTTACATCTATAGATGTTATCGTGCCCCATAGAAAAGATTCCCCCACGTGCCTGGCAGTGCATCATGTGATGCTTATAACTTCTAAAAAACAAAACCAAACAGCACACATATAAATTATAACTTGATGAGAGTCATCTTTGATCCTTTCCTTGCTCTTGCCTCCATATGATTTCCCTTGGTTTGACTTCTAAAATACGTCTGATCTCTCTATACCTTTTCGGTTTTGCTGCCACATTTTGGTCTAGAGAATCGTCATGTCTTGCTTAAATATCTGCAACAGCCTCTGCTTTTCAGGTCTTTCTCCGTACTTGATCATCATAAAGTGTAGATTGGGTCATGTCCTTCCTCTGCTGAAGACTTCCTGATGTCCTTAGAATAAAATCTCAATTGGGCACCCTGGACAGCAGTGGCTCTCTAGTCCTGTGTTCTGCCATTCTCTCCTTGCTCGCTTTACTGCAATCACACTGATGTTACAGTTTCTTGGTGCTGAAACCTTTTCTGCCTCAGGGCCTTTGCACATTCAAGATTGTCTTCCTGGAATGGTCTCAACCCATTCTTTCCGCCTCCCCCCAGGCAAAGACGAGTTTATTAAATTTGTAGTATTTCAAAAGCTAAAAATTAGGGAATGATAGGAGAGTTTCAGGGCTTGGGTTGAGTGATTTTTGAAAATATTTTTATTATTATTTCAAAATATTACAGGGGTACAAAAGTTTTTGGTTACATGGATCACTTTTGTAACGATTGAGTCAGGGTGCTAAGTGTGCCCATCAACCAGATAGCATTCATTGTACCAATTAGATAGGTTTTTCCCATCCCTCCCTCCCCGTTTCCCTGCTTGATTTCCATTGAGTTTTACTTCCCTCTGTGCACATGTATGCTCATCAGTTAGTTCCAATTCAATAGCAAGTGTATGGTGTTTATTTTTCCATTCTTTAGATACCTCACTTAGGATAATGGTCTCCAGTTCCATCCAAATTGTTGCAAAAGGCCTTAATTCATCCTCCTTCATGGCTGCATATTATTCCATTGTATACATATATAATGTTTTGTTAATCCACTCATGAATTGATGGGCACTTGGGTTGTTTCCACATCTTTGCAATTGTAAACTGTGCTGTGGTCAACATCAGAGCGCAGGTGTCTTTTTGATAAAATGACTACTTTTCTTTTGGGCAGATACCCAGTAGTGGGATTGCTGGGTCAAATGGTAAGTCTACTTTTAGTTCTTTGAGGAATCTCTACCAGGGGTCCTAAAACTATGGCCTGTGGGCCACATGTGGCCTGCTGAGGACATTTATCCGGCCCGCCGGGTGTTTTTGCCACTGCTGCCTGTCCTGCTTAGCAGCCGACTCGTCCCGGGCCCACAGTGCGCATGTGTGGAATGTGTGCCACACTCTCCAACGGCCTCCAATGGTCTGAGGGACAGTGAACTGACCCCCTGTTTAAAAAGTTTGAGGACCCCTGGTATTGAGACTTTGATTTGATTCTCAGCTTGACTGTTACTGGTGTATAGGAATGCTACTGATTTGTGTACAATGATTTTATAAGCTGAGACTTTGCTGAATTTATTTACCAATTCCAGGAGTCTCTTGGTGGAGTCTTTGGAGTTTTCTAAATATAAGATTGTATCACCAACACAAAGCAATAGTTTGACCTTCTCTTTCCCAATTTGGATACCCCTAATTTCTTTCTCTTGCCTAATTACTCTGGCCAGGACTTCCAGCACTGTGTTGAATACAAGTGGTGACAGTGGCTACCCTTGTCTTGTTCCAGTTTTTAGTGGGAATGCTTTTAACTTTTCTCCATTTAGTATGATGCTGGCTGTAGGTTTGTCATATGGGGCTTTTATAATCTTGAGATATGTTCTTTCTCTGTCTAGTTAGTTGAGGATTTATATCATAAAAGGGTGCTGAATTTTGTCAAACGCTTTTCTGCAACTATTGAGATGACAATATGGTCGTTGTTTTTGCTTCTGTTTATGTGATGAATCACATTTATTGATTTAGGTATGCCTAACCATCCTTGCATCCCTGGGATGAAGCCCACTAGATGATGGTGGATTATTTTTTTTTATGCGCTGTTGAATTCAGTTTGCTAATATTGTATTGAGGATTTTTGCATCTATATTCTTAAGGGATATTGGTCTATAGTTTTATTTTTTTTTGTTGTTGTATCCTTTCCTGGCTTTGGTATCAAGGTCATACTAGCTTCACAGAATGAGTTGGTGAGGCTTCCCTCATTATCAATGTTATGGAATAATTTCTGCAGTGGTTACCAGCTCTTCTTTGTAGGTCTGACAGAATTCAGCTGTGAATTCACCTGGTCCAGGCTTTTTTTGTTGGAAGATATTTTTTTATTACTACTTCAATCTCATTACTCATTATTGGGCCTGTTCAGGAGTTCTGTTTCTTCCTGATTGAGTATTGGGAAGTTGTGTTTCCAGGATTTTTCCATTTCCTGTACATGTTGGAGTGTGTGTGTAGAGATTTTCATACTGTTCACAGATGATATTTTGTATTTATGTTCAC